TTTTTTAATAACAGCAATCCAAAATACACAGCTGTTAAAGGGATAGTTCACCCAAAAATGGAAATTAGCCCATTATTTAGTCACCCTCAAGGCATCCTAGGTGTATATGACTTCCTTCTTTCAGACAAATCCAATCGGAGTAATATTAAAAATGGTCTTTGATCTTCCAAGCTGCTTAATGGCAGTCAGCGGGTTCAAAAGAAGTGAAATAAAGAGCATCCATCCATAATAAAAAAGTGTCTCACACGGCTCCAGGGGGGTGAACAAAGGCCTCCTGTAGCGAATCGGTGCGTTTTTGTAAGAAAAATATCCATATTCAAAATGTAATAATCACTTTAATGTAGCTTGCGCCAACAGTTGTACACGGAAGCAGCTCCGGGAGATTGATGTAAGATGTTGGCATTGCGCATGCGCTGGTGAGTCTTGTGAAAACCAACGTTTATTTACAGGAGCAAAGGAAGCAAAGTTTCCTTACTTTAGCAAAGGAAAACCAGTCTCCTCTTGGCTTATATCTAAATCCTTCGACATTCTTCTTTACAAATCCTCGTTTTGAACTTCTAATTCGTGACCGTTGTTTTGTTTCGATCTCTCCCCTGCGCTTCCGCGTTCGTCACTTCTGAGCGGCGCATGCACAACGCCGACATCTTACGTCATCCGCCCGGAGCTGCTTCCATTTACAACAGTGAGCGCAAGCTAGATTAAACTGATTATTACATTTTAAATATGGTTATTTTCCTTACAAAAACACATCTATTCGCTACAGGAGGCCTTTGTTCACCCCCCGGAGCCGTGTGAGGCACTTTTTTTTATGGATGGATGCACTTTATTTAACTTCTTTTGGACTGATGCACTGCAACACCCGCTGAGTGCCATTAAACAGCTTGGAAGATCAAAGACAATTTTTTATATAACTCCGACTGGATTTGTCTGAAAGAAGAAAGTCATATACACCTAGGATGCCTTGAGGGTGAGTAATTCATGGGCTAATTTTCATTTTTGGGTGAACTAACACTTTAAGAAACATTCCTGGCCAGGAAATTCTCACCTATTGGCAGGTGTGACTAAAGGTTATTTTCAGACCCTGTGTTAGGGTGAACGCGAAGGGAAAATGCAGAAGACATAATGTGCCGTGTAAAGCTGAGGTCACCTGCAGTCTCCTCTCATCCTCCTCTCTTTTCTTACGCTCTTCCTCTTCATGTTTCCTCTTCAACTCCATCTCCGATTTCCTAACAGACAGACAGATAGAAGCTTCAGCTGAGCTGGAGACGGTAATGTCAGAATTATTGCTGTATATCCAAGTGAAATGAGTTATCAGAAAAGAAAAAAAAAGTAAGGCGAGACTTGGTTCTGTGCATCTTAGAGATTACACAAACTAAATGATTGAAGAAGTCCGGCATACGTCACCAGAGAGAAGCCTGACATTTCACTGGGAGATTGAGTTGATATTTTGATTATAGATAAAAAAATACAAATAAAGGAATAAAAGTAAAATGTGTCTATATGAAGAATATGAACTATTATATGCATTTAGGATGTTACTTTCATGCAAACTTTAATTCAATTCAGATTTGTTTCCCCTCACAATGCACATGTAAACACATTAGCCACTTGTAACAGGTCATTTACATATAGAAGTCTTAAAGGTACAGAAGTAAAACAGTTTCAGTTCATTAAGTCAGCAATGGCACCAACATTTGACCTGAGAGCTACAGTGGATATCCATGTTTTCTGTTTCACTGAAATAAAGTAATCTGGGTTAGGAACGACATGAAGGTGAATAAATGATTTCTGTCTACTCACAGGCGTCTTTCCTCTTCCTCTTGTTTACGCTTCTGCTCCTCTTCCTCGCGTCTCTTCCTCTCTCTTTCCATTTCCTCTTGGATTCTCCTCAGACGCTCCATCTCCTCCTCCTCCTGCTTCTTCTTCTGCATGACGCTGAGCAGCTCCTGCGAGCGAGTGACCAGAGCCTGGTGCTCATGGTCGATGTCTATGCGGCTCATTACAGTGTTCTAGACAGAGAAGATGCATACAGGACACAGTTCTTCATCTACAGCCCTTTCAGATTCAATGAGTAATAGGGGTTTTCAGGAATATGTTCAGGACAGGACTCTGTCTCTCTGATGCACACCTTAATCTTGAATATGTGGGCGCTGATCGAGGAATCGAGTTCCTGCATGTGTTTGCTCATCTCCTGTTTTCCCTCCTTTAGTCCAGACACCACCTCATTCAGCTTCTCTATCCTCTTCTTCAGGTTACATGCCTTCACCAGCCCATCGATCCTAACACACACACACACACACACACATTAACGCTGTTCACATCCACTCGAGTATTTATGACGTTTCAAAAGTTTTACACGCAGCATCTGATGAGCACAGAAAATCATTTCAAAAGTTCGAAAGTTTTTTTCGCCAAGGCTAAATTTTTTGGAATTGACTGAATTACAGTAAAAATGGAAATATTGTAAAACGTTATTACAATTTTTATTACAATTATGGAAAAGCTAAATTTACTCCAGTCTTCAGTGTCGCATGATCCTTCAGAAATCATTCTAAGATGCTGATTCACTGCTCAAGAAACATTTCTGATTATTATCAATGTTGAAAACAGCTGTGCTGCTTCATATTTTGTCGCTTTTGATCAATTTAATGCATCCTTGTTTAAAAACAAAAAAGTACTACTCTTACTAACCTACATGCGTTAATGTAATTAATGTTGGAGTTTGCTTTAATTTGACCAAACAAAAGGTAACCATGTTTAGTTTTTTAATTTGTCATTTAAAATAGTGAATTGTATATACATGTACATAAACAGGGTAAGCGATTTCCATCACAGCAGTCTAATACCAACATGTTTAAGTGTTATAGTTATATGATTACAGCTTGATGAACAAACACTGAAGAGGAGAGGAAGTGCCGCCCACCGTGGTTTGTGCTTCCTCTTGCACAGCCACATGCGAACAGTCTTCTGCATCTGGATGCACGCTTTGGCTCGGTACAGCATCTTGTTTTTCACTGACAGAGCATGAAAACCACATTAAACACTGTGGACCAATGGGTAATTTTTTTTCCCCTTCTTAATTTCTGCAGAATTGGTTCTCCTCTGTATGTGTATATAGACTTGAGGTCCTAATTAATCAGTTTGTTACGTACGTTTAATGACAGACAGGGCGCACCACTGCACCTTCTTCCAGCGGCTGCAGATGAGCCATTTATTGACACGTTTCACCAGTTCAGCCAGATGATCTGGATCGGACTTCATGATCTGATCGAACTCCGCAAACTGAGTAACATCAAACCAGTCAATAAACTGCATGAGCTTATGGTCACAAGTGAAGAAAAATACAATTATCTACCATTCCTATTCTACAATCAGAAATAGGATACACTAATAAAGATTTCCATCACACAAGATAGATCAGGATGAATTCAATCAGAATTAATGTGTCATATTTCATCCCAAAATCGAAAGAAAAAAAAACACATTTGACAGAACGAACATTGTGATATGTGATCCTGCAGCACAAAAGCAGTCTTAAGTCGCTGGGGTATATTTGTAGCAATAGCCAAAAAAAACATTGTACGGGTCAAAATTATCGATTTATCTTTAATGCCAAAAATGTAAAGATCATGTTCCATGAAGATATTTTGTACATTTCCTACCGTAAATATGTCAAAACTAAATTTTTGATTAGTAATATGCATTGCTAAGAACTTCATTTGAACAACTTTAAAGATGATTTTCTCAATATTTAGATTTTTTTGCACCCTCAGATTCCAGATTTTCAAATAGTTGTATCTCAGCCAAATATTGTCCGATCCTAACAAACCACACATCAATGGAAAGCTTATTTATTCAGATAATGTATACATCTCAATTTCAGAAAATTGACCCTTATGACTGGTTTTGTGGTCCAGGGTCACATATTATTAAGACCATTAAGATTTTTTCATTAAACTTGTACTGTACACCATGTTATTAGACTTTTCTTTGTCCAAACGTGTAAAACATGTTTAGTGTAAAATATGACCTGCACCACACTGTCATCATGAGACACAACAATAAATCGAAAAACAATAAATAAATAAAATATAAAAAAAAAATCATATAAGGAAGATACATCACCTTTCCAGGTCTGAAGAAAACTTTTGTCAAACCAAATTTATAATCATTTTCATTCAGGCCGAGAGCTTTGAACAAAGCCTGTTGAGCAGAAAAAAACAAATAAAAATGCTATTAATATCTAAATAATATTATAGAACGACTATTACACTCAACCGTAGTTGTCTGAGAAACCTTACCAGCACACAGAACAACATCATCCTGACCTGCACATGTATTTACACACTGACTGTATGTAACACACACCTTGCAGAAGAGTCGCGGGTCGAGCCGTGTCAGTTTGGCGGGCATGTACTGCTTGTACATGTTGTAGAGCTCGTGGAACGGCGCTCGAGAGGGGAAGCCGCCCTGCATCAGATCCAGTACTGACACCATCCCTGAGCACACAAACACAGAAACTCTCAGACACACAGCGAGAGAACACACAAGCAGTATATTACATTAGAATATTAATACATTTAACCCTGACGCCAAGAAAGCTTCTGACATGTAGTATGTCAGTATTTTTCTTTGTCCCTTGACACTTAAATAATTTACAACCTTGTTGAACTTTAACTCCGTAAAGCCTGACAAGTTGCAATAATAGTCTTAAATATATCATTTTTTAAATGGAACAGTTTATGCAACCTTTACTCAAAATAAAAGAATAAAAAAAAAAAAGATTGCACGTGTGTTTTCTGTAGAGTATCATATTGGGTACATTAGGCTTTTAGTGAGAATATGGAGCTCAAAAAACACCTCAATATTATTCAGAGGCCCAAACTAAGCAAAAACGTGGACAAAAAGTAAGATAAAATTCTGACAGCATGTAATGTAAATGAATGAGATCTTTATAACAGTATCTGATGACTTCAGACTACAGTAACAGACTACCTACATACAGTAAAATGCATATCAATATCATTTGTTACTCTATATCTCTCAATATTATGTCTCAGTAAGATGATATTCAAATGCTTGTTTTTATTTTTTATGATCAAAGCTCTGCAGTTTTATTATAGTGGGGGGGGGGGCGAGGGCCCGTATAGGGCTGCCTAGCCCACGTACCCTCACTGTGGCGAGGTGAGGCGAGAAGGGACGAAGGCCCCCTCGTCTGGGAACGCAAACTGAGCGCCCAGGGGCTGTATGGAGAGATGCCTAGCCCGCGTACCCCTCACCGTGTCCGGGGTGACCAGTGGCGGGTCCAGGGTAAAAACGACTAAGTGTGAAATGCGGGGTTTGGACCGTCCTATGTGTGTAGATACTATGACTGAGAGATTATTAAATAAACATTCTTCAAAATTTTAACAGAATAAAAAAAAAATTACGCATGGATAATTAAGTAAACCTAAGTGGCGTGAAAAGTGTTCATTTTGAAATATTACCGACTACATTTTTTTTCTTATGTTTACTTCAGTATCAAAACCAGTATAGATTTCACAGCAAAAACATACGTGAACCACGACGTGAAGGGGTTTTTACAATTATACTAAAAGTACAAGTTATCGATCAGATGATAAAAGGCATGTAGAAGATTGTGAACAACAGGTTTTTCAGCAGATATGGTACAGTAGGCTTTATAGGGATAAATAATGGTTTTAGACCAGGGCTGCCCAAACTCGGTCCTGGAGGGCCGGTGTCCTGCAGAGTTTAGCTCCAACTTGCCTCAACACACCTGCCTTTAAGTTTCTAGTATGCCTAGTAAGAGCTTGATTAGCTGGTTCAGGTGTGTTTAATTGGGGTTGGAGCAAAACTCTTCAGGACACCGGCCCTCCAGGACCGAGTTTGGGCACCCCTGGGCTTGACGTTCCCTCCCTCACCATAACATAATAAATGTCACATTAAAATTTTTCATGTCGTCTATGAATTAATATGAGGTCATAAATAACTCATAATACTCAGCTACTGAAATAGTTCTAGGTGGCTTTTCGTATGTCAGACCTCAGGACACCTCCATTTGAGCTTGAACTTGAAAGTGCAAATCAAAATCCTGAAGGAAACAATGTAATGATGCTGGCAGCTCTGTGTAATGTGATATGTGTGCACTGTGTGTGTGTGTGTGTGTGTGTGTCTTAACCTGAGCACTGTAGTTGAGACAGAATCTGAGCGCCTTCAAACTGGTGGCTGACCATCTTCAGATTGGGCTTCACACAGCGGACAAAACTTGAACCCTGAAACACACGAGCAGCACAAATCATGACTTGCTGTAATTCAGAAATACAGTATTATTTCAGCTAATGTATGCGGTAACATTTAGCTAAACCTGAAAACAATAACAAGTTGGGCTTGACGACTCACAGTACTGTGCAGCTTTTCCAGAAGAATATTCAGCTGTGTCTGTGAGAGGAAAATACGAAAAATTAAACGACTTCGGGGTTTGAAATGTAAGACTTTAAGTCTTTTACAAGTAACACTGATAATGCATGTCTACAGAGTAAAAACCCCTACACTCTCAAAATAAATCATGTACAGTATCTCAGATTCTTTTACTTAATTAAACTGCAAACCAGGGTGGCTGCAAGACATGCTTTATTCAATGTGAACTGAAAGTGTTTTATGTACTGTACTAATTAGTGCTGTCAATCGATAAAAAAACCCCCCAATTAATCAAAAAATTTTCTGAAATTAATCACAATTAATCCCACCTAACATTAAAGTTTTTAAATATACTTTTATATTGCAATAATTGTTTAATGGCATCTTTTTTATGACTGAAGGTGAGTTTCACTGATACCAATACTACTGATGTCTCTAGGAAACTGTTTTCCCCTAATATTGAACCACTGACTATAGCCATTCAACATTACAGTAGAATTGAGAGCTATCAATTTTAACATTTATTAGACTTAAAACAACAACAACTTCTAATTTAAGTGAACCTAAAACAAACTAGGGTTGTGACGGTGAGGAAATTTTCCCACCAGTTAATCAAAGTGTGACAACACCGGTAATACCGGTATCACCGTGGGGGCGGGGTGGGGGCGTTCCCTCTTTTCCTCGCTTTCCTTCGCTTTTAAATAGCTTGTAAAAGCGGCGTGCGCATTTTACTTTCACTTTCAAACAGCGGCAATTCGGCGTAAAGCAATTGTTAGTTTTTATTTAGTTTGAATTTTCCCTCTTTCCTCGCTTTCCGTCGCTTTTAAATAGCTTAAAAGCACCATTCACCATTCACTTTCGAATTCGCGGCAGTTCGCATCAATTGCTTGAATGCAACAACAAAATACAACGTCAAACTCACTTTAGCCTATATATAAAACATAGAACTTTTATTTTTTATTAAAAAAAATACACCAGGCAGGCTATGCCTAATATAAAATAACACATAACTTACATAAAGTTTAAATAGGTATACAAAACTGGAAATAGGCTACGTAAACATGTATAATATATAACCAAATAAATAAGAAACGTAGAACGTTTATTAGCAAAACGAGTAAGAAAGCTTGGAGGCACGGCACACACCTTGATGTCAAATAAAATAAATAAATGACACAAAGTTTAAATAAAGTAAAAATCAGCAAACACTGTGGAACCAATTAAATAAGAAACGGATGTTTATAAAAACTTCCAAAATCATCTTAGATAAACGGCAAAAGTCAACAGGCTTTTCAAAATCCAAAATATTGCCAAAATCCATTAAAACTTTTGCATCTAGTTTCAAAACTAAATCATCCGCGATCGTCTCGTCTGTCTCGCCTCACTCTTCTCGTCTGTCTTGCCTCGCTCTTCTCGTCTGTCTCACCTGACTCTTTTCGTCTGTCTCACCTCACTCTTCTCGTCTGTCTCACCTCACTCTTCTCGTCTGTCTCACCTCACTCTTCTCGTCTGTCTCACCTCACTCTTCTCGTCTGTCTCACCTCACTCTTCTCGTCTGTCTCACCTCACTCTTCTCGTCTGTCTCACCTCACTCTTCTCGTCTGTCTCACCTCACTCTTGAAAAACCACTGCATTTCAGAGACATATTCCTAAATCTGACAAATACTTACATACATGCAAAGTTTTAAAGCAGCTTTAATTGCTTTTTTGGTAACTTCATGACTTATCTGATGACATAACTACGACACTGCATGCTCAGTTTCTTTTGCACTTTGATATGAAATGATACAGGCTACAGTGTGCACCACTGCATTTGTGCAGTAAAAAGTGTTTTTTACTGACATACGGCCTGACAGCATCTCATCTGACCGCAGTTCTACTGAAGCTCTTCATCACCTGTAGCTTTTCTGCACTTGTTTTACTAGTGCCTGGCGCTGAGGTTGGAGTGCGTGTCTGAAAAATCTCCCGTTTGATGTGGTCGTAAAGACGTTCTGCGTCTCAATAAATGCAATTCTTGTCAAGAAAAATAGAGACAGAAGCAGCAGTTGTGAGTGGGGTGGCTAACACTAGCTCCACCCCTGCGTTAAATATTTTTAACACGTTAATCTGAAAAAGTTAATTGCATGCATTAACGCGCCAAGTTTGACAGCACTAATACTAATATATCAATGCGTATGATTTATAGGCCTATCGAAATTGGATTTTGCCGATACATTAAAAATGTTTTTAAAGAAAGGCTCTAAAAAGATTATTGTGGTGATGCCCGCAAATTCAATATATTGAACGTGCAGAATAATGTTCTTAGTCTTTCCTTCACGGGACGGCCCAGAGAGAAGAGTTTATGGCGAATTAAATGCCAGGTACAGTTTATTCTGAAACTGCGTGAATGCACAATAGTGCCGCATTTTGACTTTGAATGAGCAGTGCTCACGTTAATTTAATTATATAACACTCTTCTGAAGTTTAATAATCACATTAGGCCATATGGCAATCCCTGTTTTTCCTCTTCTTAAATGGGAATGAAGACCTTTGTTGTACCATTTAACATATCTTTTCAAGACTTTTTAAGAAACTGCAGGAACCCTGCTGATTTTTCCCTCAAATGACAGTCAGACCAAGTGATTTTGAGGCTGACCTTGAATTTGTTGCCTACACTGATGAAGCTCAGTTTGCCGGCCTTCTGCTTGGTGTCTTTGGAGTGGTTGGAGTTCTCGAAGAGCTCTCCGATGAATTTATCCTTCGACTCGCTCACCAGACTCGCCAAGGACGTGTGAAGAGCGTCGTTATTCTTCTCCACAAACTGAGTCTGAATGAGAGATGGGAAAATGGTCTAAATCACATAGAACTGAACTTTAAATTCCTTTTTCTGGAATTGAATTTAAGCTTTAGTTCAAAATGCGGCACTTACAGCGATTACAAAACCTTGAATAAATGAACACACAAAAGGGTGTGCATTACAGTGAATTTCGGGATTTCCGGAGAGTGCATAAAATCTAATTATTGTAAAATCTCAGTAACACAAGTAATATAGTTCATTTGTCAACTACAGTGCATTAATATTGAACGTGTGGTCACATGTGCCTCAACGATAACTGACTAACCCCATCCTGTGTCTAATATTTTGCCATGTTGAGATTATTGTCTCGGCTGTTTAACTGAACTGTTAACGCCCCCTTGTGTCAGATCCAAAATCTACCAACATTTGTTGCTCTGCACACTTAATAAAACTCCAGTTTGCTGTTACTGTCTTCTTGCAATATTGACAAACTATTTTATTTCTATTAAAATGTTGTTTTATTTAGTTTAATTATTTTCAGCAGTGGATTTGTTGTGTTTCATGTGCCCATTTTTATTGAATTTTTATACATTTTTACAGCAATTTAAGTATTAAAAGATAAAGAGTAAATTGAGGAATCAACAGAATATTAACGGTTATTTATATCAATTTACCACCAAGCTAATTTAACTGAGAAATTAGCAAAAATTGAGGGAAAACTGACAAATCCTTGACTGGCGAGGGTTATTTCGACTAAAGCCCAATTTATGAATATACGTTCAATCAATCAAGAAGTTGGCAAAACAAATATTGAAGATCTGAAAATGTTTTGGTTTGTCCCTGAATGGATAGTGTGTGTACCGTTTCATAGCATACTGCTCCAGCAAAGTGTCTTATGATGAAGCCCTCGTCGTCTCTGACGTTCCTGTGCACTGTCAGCTTGGACTTCCTGGGAACCTGTGGGACGAAAGATTTGAAAAATACAGCCACTAAACCAGAGTGCGCCGCTGGAATGAGATGTAGAGTAAAGCGTGACTCACAGTCAGGCGGAAATGGTCCTTGTGTTTGCTGTGGATGGTGTCAGTGAAGTGCTGGTCGCTGGGTTGAGGTAGCCGGTTCTCTTCATCCAAGATATCCAAGATGCCAACTAACTTCGCTTCCACCAAGTCTGAACAAAAGGAGACACAAAGGCAGATTCATACAATCATCAAGCACATTTAGGCTGCCAGAAGTATCTGCATTCTGGTGTATTAAAAGGCAGAAGAGTGCAGATGTCATTTTTGTACCCCATATGCCCAATGAAATCAGTGTAGTGTAAAAGAGACAGACCTATACAGTCCTGATTATCAACGTAATGGACCTCATTGACTCCAAGACCTTCTCTCTGATACAATTCCTGCTCCTGTTGACCACACACAAAACAACAGACAAAACATCAGTCCAGTTCATTCCTTACAATGGACAATTTCGACTCGAATCAGCCTAACATTTTTATCACTGCAGCATCAAAACATCTCTGTTTTGGATGATTGTGTAAAAAACTTGTCCTTGCAAGAACTGTTTATTTACAGCAAAATGCATTTAACTTGTGGCAAATACATAATACTGTGTAAAAAATGCAAAGACAACAATGAATCAATAATTGTATGCATTGGTTAATATATCTTTATTGAATGGCTGTATCATATCTATTGAATTTGTTTCTGCAATATCTGAATTTCATGGTGTTTTTGTGTTGTTTAATTTGATAAGTGAATAGTTGATTCCTACTGTATGTTGATAATGAGTAGAGTTGATAAATGCTCAAGAGCATTTTTGATTATTAGCAAAAACAAAACAAAAAAAAAGATTTTTCAGGACTCTTTGTTCAATAGAAAGTTCAAAAGAACAATATTTATTTGCAATAGAAATCTTTTGCAATACAAATGTTTTTGCTGTCACTTTTGATCAATTTAAAGTGTAAAATATTAAAAATAATATCTGAATTTCATGGTGTTTTTGTGTTGTTTAATTTGATAAGTGAATAGTTGATTCCTACTGTATGTTGATAATGAGTAGAGTTGATAAATGCTCAAGAGCATTTTTGATTATTAGCAAAAAACAAAACAAAAAAAAAGATTTTTCAGGACTCTTTGTTCAATAGAAAGTTCAAAAGAACAATATTTATTTGCAATAGAAATCTTTTGCAATACAAATGTTTTTGCTGTCACTTTTGATCAATTTAAAGTGTAAAATATTAAAAATCTTTACAGAAAATCACTCGCCTCTTTGAGAATGCGCTCATTGAAGAACTGCTGGAGTTTCTCATTACAGTAGTTAATGCAGAACTGCTCAAAACTGTTGTGCTCGAAATACTCTGAGGAAGACAAAATGAGGTTTGGCATAAGCAGGAGTCAGGGTTGACTGGTTGGTTAGCTTAAGTGTTAGGTAACAGCTGGCCCCTGCTGACAATCTGAATGGCCAGTCACATGACATTAATGGCTCAGGTGCCTCAAAACTGTGTTGAACTGAGTATTCACGAGCATAGACTGTCTTGTACCAAAGCCAGCGATGTCCAGCACACCGATGAAGTGAGAGGACGAGTCGAAGGGGAAGCACTGGTTGATCCTGGTGACCACGTGATCAAAGAGACGGCTGTAGATGGCTTTAGCCAGAGCATCACGAGCACTGCTGGCCTGCTCCACCTTCAGAGGAACCCTACAGAAGACGACAAAGTGCATGGTTATCCACTAGACTCCAGCATCTCCGCTCAACCACTCGTCAGAAGGCGTGAGCGGCTCTTACTTGATGGCTGTGCCTTTAGCGCCCCCTGCGGTTGTGTGCATGACTCTGGTGGTCAGACTGACCCTCAGATCTTCCTCATCCAGACCCAACAGCTCCGCACAGAACTCTAACGACTGACCGCACGTCTTCTTCAAGACACAGCCACCTGAAACGCACAAACACACGTGAGAGTAAATAAAAACATATTTTTTCCTCATTTTCATCAAGATGTGGTATATAATTAAAGGGGTCATATGATGCTGCTAAAAAGAACATTCTTTTGTGTATTTGGTGTAATGAAATGTGTTTATGCGGTTTAAGGTTCAAAAAACACATTATTTTCCACATACTGTACATTATTGTTTCTCCTCTATGCCCCGCCTTTCTGAAACGCGTCGATTTTTACAAAGCTCATCGGTCTGAAAAGCGAGGTGTGCCGTGATTGGCCAGCTATCCAGTGCGTTGTGATTGGCCGAATACCTCAAGCGTGTGACAGAAATGTTACGCCCCTCACCGTACTGTTGATGCCGTCTCAGGCCGGAGCGACAAAACAAAAACATTACAACTCATTACAAACGAGGCATTTGTTGCATCCATTGGGGACATAATTACGGATCATAATGACTTTTTACGCGTTGCGTTGCATCGCGCCACGTAAACATAAAACCATGTCTGCATTTGTGATCGGAGAAACGACAAACAACAAGCGCTACTCTACACTGCCCAAAACTCACGTTTGAATCATCAGTGGCAAATCCTTTAAATATAAAAAAACTTACTTACAGTCTGTGAGTCAGAACAGCCGGCATTGTAGTCTACGCTACCAGGATCAGGAAACAGTCCTCCATAAAATGTGCTGCACACATCTGAATATTTGGGTCGAAGTGTTCTGGAACAGTGTTGTAAATACAACTTAACCACTGATTTCTAGTCGTGTCCTCTTTTGGAAGACCAAACAAAGTAGTTTCGCTTTCACAATGGCGGCGGCGGCGCCAACAACAATACTACAGCGAGAATAAAAGTTATGCCTTCTTTGTTTGCGTGAACATTTGGGCGGTGTTATGCAAATCTTCCCACACAGTGATGTAGATATGTGGGGGCGTGTTAGAATGAGGCGTTTTAGGTAGGCGTGGTTGACTCTTAACTTTTATATATCTCTCTGGATTTGAGACTTTAGTCTTTGCAACTTTACAGATCTTCTTTATGCACCAAGAGCTTGTAACACTCCAAAGAGAAAGGAAAAATTGAAATCGCATCATATGACCCCTTAAAGATAATGGCTAATGTCAACTTTTGTTTATTGTGAGGGGGAACGTCTTTAAATGAATAAGCACACAAGTAAGAGGATTTTAACTGTTAGCACCAAACCTGTGTGTTTTTAATAACTCTAATAGCTCTCCGTTTACCTGAGGTGCTTCCAGCCTCTTCGAAATCAATGTTTCCGAGGTGCAAAACCCCGGCCACCACCCTGAACATGTTGAACTTCTCTGTGTCACCCAGACCGATCTTCTTCATGGCCACACACATTCTGTTAAAGTCGGCATGATCATCCAGCAGAGGGTCTTTCAGAGGGCCCGCCTTCAGATGCTGAGGAGCAACGGGCAAGTCAAGAAACCTGTGAGTTTATCCAGGAGCCTGACTGCTAATAAAACTCAGCACAGCAAGTGCAATCAATTTATCTCAGTGTTTTGTGACTCAGTACTATGCAGCAGAACACCAATACCATATCTCTTGAACATTTCATTTCAAAACCACTGGCATTAATAGGGAATTGCTCCTCACGTTCCTGTTCTGACACAGGAAAATGCTTGTGTGAGGATAATGCATGGCTATATCTTTGATTTTATACAACTGTCAGTAATTGGTGTAGCTGAAACGGCCACATCATTTTGACTAAGCAGTGTATCAAGCAGCTTCATCAATCACTCAAATGTATCCACAACGCTTCATCATGAAACTCATGACTGTCTTTGCCCTTGTCAACTGAGGGAAGTTGTCTGAAATGCAGTTGTTTAGTCTCTCTAATGGAACTGCAGACAGCCTAAATTACATTAGTTTCCTGCTTTCTTATGCTTTGAGGCCTTGTAGTTGCATGCCGTCACATTCACTGTTGTTCTGCAAAAGTTCACAGACAAAATACAACAGGAATTTTAGATCCGTGACTGCACTTTTAGTCTCCTGGTTGAAATGTACAAAACCTGTCATTAGCATACATAATCATGCTTATATTTGTATTAACTTTACTGAAAGATATAAAAAGATGTAAAATTTCAGGTCATAGAAGTTCATCTGAGAATAAAGGAAACTGGCAGGTGCATGTAGGTTTTCTACAGTCTTTGATGTCTGATACTCCACCCTCTTTTATTGTAAAGTGCAAAAAGGTACTTGTTGTCCTCAACATTTTCCCATGTGAATTTGATGTAGTGTGTAGTAGTTTTATGTTGTTCTTGACCCTGGTGTCGTCCACATATCTGAACATCAAGATGCACAAACCAGATATCATTTCTTGAATTATCCGAGTGCAGCAGTGGTGTGTTGGAATGATTCCTCACGGTTCATTTCTCATTCTAAACTGCAGTCTGGTTGTGGCTGTTGTCTTGCAGAGTGTGAATTGTGAGCTCAGGTGTGATACATTCAGAGACAGCCACAGATTATTACTACAATCATGACTTTCACAAAACTCCCAACGCCTCATGACAATCAGGAGTCTGATGTAACTCTGTGGATATTTTTAAAAGACATGATGAACCTGAGCCAAAACGATTGTCAATAAATGGATAAGTCGCTGGGATTTGTGTCTTCTGTTCAAAAACATTTGAAAGGAGCCTGATGGACTTATTTTGGTAGACAAATGCAGCTGCTAGAGAGAAATGTGTCTTCTGAGAGGAGCAGATAACGCTAATGGACGCAAAAAACTGCAAGTATAGCAAGAGTGTCCCAGTAACCTCAATTTTATATATCTTTAACCTGGATTTTAAAAGTGCACTAGACGTGCACCCTGCTGTAATACTACTACTACTATTTTGTGGCAAACAATAAAAAGGAATATTAAGAGAAAAATATCCCATTACCTTAGAAAAAACCAAGACAAGTCAAAACAGCGGCAATTTCGCTCCCAAGAATTGAAAGTTCCCATTTTTTTTCATTACCAGTTTTATGAAATGTTGTTTAAATGCAAATGAGACATTATGTAATTAAATATGGGCAAATTTGTTTCATTTTTTCAGGGGATTTTGTTCTCTCTTTTTATCACTCCATCAATCAGAAAGCACCGTCAACATCCAGGGGGAAAAAAAAATCACTATATTTTTTTTAAATAAAATCAGCCGAATGATATATGAACAAATCCCTCTGTAAAAATTGCTAAATTGACCAGTGCATGATAAAACACTGTTTTTGCCTGTAGTGTCTTGCCTGCTTTCATAATCAATTCTTCCCCATCCAAACACGCTTGAAAATAAACATTTCAGATTTTTGTTAGAGTGTGTAAAAGGGAGGGTAAGTGTGTTCTCCGCAAAGAACCTGTGGAGATGCTTTAAGCTGTTAAAAATAAATGTATTACCTCTGGACTCTTGCGGTTTTGAGGTATCAGCTTGTCTGAATCCTTGGTAGAAAAGTACCTTTTGCATCCTCGACTTAAATACTGGATTGAACAGAAAACGTATACAAGAAATGATTAGAAACATGAAAGAACACCTGACAGACAGTCAAGAATTACACTATTTAAATAGTATAATACACGTTTTTCATGATCAACCTGAATTGTAACGGGTCAAAATAACTGCTTGTTAATGTCTTTATAGACACTGTGAAATCCCTCACTGGCTATTCTACAGAAGAGAAAGTGTAGTGTAAGTGTGTTTGTCAGAATGATGTGGGCTCTGTGAGACGCAGGGTTCACAAACCCTGAAGCAGTCTGGAGAGCTGAGGTGGAACTTCTCCTTGATGTCTTCAGGAGCTCCAGCGCACAGCCTGTAGAAGATGTGATAGTTCCTCTCCTCCTGGCCCTGCGTGCAGATACGGGACTTCTCCAGCAGGTAATGGGACACGAAACCACCTACTACTGCATTCTGGAAAAGATCAGATCAGCATTACATTGAAATAAACGTGTACAAAATCACACCTCTGCATCACTGCACAAAATTGTACATCATTTAAAAAGCATTGCAGCTTTCTGTTTGTAGTGAGACTTTCATATACATGTAAAAAAAAAAAGAAACACACCTTTTCATTAAAGTGAATCTCCACAAATTTCCCAAAGCGACTGCTGTTGTTGTTTCGGACAGTTTTGGCATTGCCAAACGCCTCGAGCAGTGGGTTTGCTAGAATCCAGTGACAAAAAAAAAAAAGTTGTTTTCTATAACTTGCATTGGTTACGGCATAGTGGGGCACAAATTTATATTAGTACAGTAAAGGCCTTCAAACGTACCTTCAACTATTCTTTCATCAATGTCTTGACCTGTGCCATAAGATGTAGTTAAGTACCTGTGAGAGGGAAGAGTAACCCAATAAAACCCATCACATATCAAATAAAGAATAAAGGATTATGCAGAAGTGCATTCTTATTATTCACTTTTTATGAATCATACTGTATGTGTTATATAAACGAGCACTTTCTGTTACGTATCCGGTCCATGAACTTCCGTCTGCTAGCCATCAGAGGTCACCCTTTCCATTTACATTGACTCTCGCACTACACACTGTTGCATATCACCCCGGACTACATATCCCATCATTCATTGCACTGATTGCACACAGCACTGATTGCACACAGCTGTTTCACTGATTGCACACAGCTGTTTCATATCACTCGCTCACTATTTAACACTCACTCTGATCCCTTCCCGGTGCCGAGTATTGTTTAGCGCTTATCATTTGATAGCTACACTACAGAGTCCTTGTTAGTTTACCCTGTCTTAGCCTAGTCTTGCCTTGTCTGTTTTTTCGGTTTCTGATCCTTGCCTGGTTTCCTGGATTTATCCCTTTAGTCTCGCCCTTTTTGATTCTGTTCGCCATTCGTTGACCTTCGCTAGCCCTAGGATTATTCTTGTGTCTTGCCCGCCATATACCTGTTTGCCTTTGTTCGACCCTGCCTGTGTTTCTGACCTCCTCTGATGTTAATAAAGCTTGCATATGGATCCGCACGTCTCACATCTCGTCAACCACGTTACACTTTCTATACCTGAGAACAAACTTGGTGTTTTCGGTTTTTCCAGCTCCTGACTCTCCCGACACAACGATGGACTGACTCATCTTCAGCACCTTCATGTCACGATAAGCTTTATCCGCTACATCCAACAAATAAAAACTATGAGCATATACATAGAATATTAACATTTATGCAAGCTAATAGTATATATTTTTGTACATCACTGAGAAGCCTTAATTTCATTAAATTTAGCATATTCGTAGGCCCACCCGCACAGATAATTCGGCCCATGCCTGTTCTCGCAGCCTTGCTTACCAATTGCATAGACGTGAGGAGGCAGCGTGCCCAGCGAGCGGCCCCGATACTGTTTAATTGTCTCTGGAGAATACAGCTTGGGAATCTCAAAATATGGATTCACAGCGATCAGGATGTTGGCAACAAATGTCTGCAACACAAAGTAACATGAGCAGACGGGAAAGCAACCAATGAATGCATTTTCATTCTATTTGACAGACAACCACTTTCAGACAATAAGAGTATTGAGGAATTGCGGCTTGTTATTTTTCAAAGAAATAATAAAAAATGGCAAGTACTTAAACGTTTTTATTTATTTTTTTTAATTTTTATTCCATTTATTTAATGAGGCTTTCGTCTTCATTCTTATATCAGGACTGTTGCATCATCTTAACTTTAAGATTTAAAAATAAAAATGCATTTTAATTTAGAAATTATCATTTCATCATAGAAGAGAAGGCCCTGAGTGCATGAATAGCAATTTTTAATGTGCACTATTGTTCAAATGTTTGAGGTCAGTTTATGTTTTTGAAAGAAATCTGCATTAATTTGATCAAAAATCTTTTAAAATTGCAATAACATTTCACAATATTACTATATTTACTGTTTTGTATTTGAATATATTTTATTGCGGTGATCAAAGCATCATTACTCCAGTCTTCAGTGTCACATGATCCTTCAGAAATCAGTCTAATATGCTGATTTGCTGCTCGAGAAACATTTCTGATTATTATTATCAATAAGCTGTGAAAACAGTTGTGCTGTTTTCACAAAAAAATATTTTTGGTGGAAATTTTTTTTTTTTCATGATTCTTTGATGCAAAGACAGTTCAAAAGAACATCATTTATTTTAAATAGATTTTGTAACAATGTAAAAATATTTGTGACTTTATCAATTTGATGCATCCCTTTATCAAATTGTTTTAAATAGAGATAATTTCCTTTAAAAAAAATGGTAACACTTTACAATAAGGTTGCATTTGTTAACATTAGTTAACCACATTAACAAACTAACAATAAAAAAATACTTCTAGCATTTATTAATCTTAGTTAATGCTGATTCCAACATTTACTAATACATTATTAAAATCAAAAGTTGCATCTATTAATGTTATTTAATAGACCTGAGCTAACATGGACGAGCAATGAACTGTTGCATTTTTATTAACTAACATTAACAGAGATTAATAAATAATGTAACAAACGCATTGCTCATTGTTAGTTAATGTTAGTTACTGTATTAAATATAGTTAACAAATGGAACCTTATTGTAAAGTGTTACCAAAACTCTTTTGAACAGTACCCGCACAGATAATTCGGCCCATGCCTGTTCTCGCAGCCTTGCTTACCAATTGCATAGACGTGAGGAGGCAGCGTGCCCAGCGAGCGGCCCCGATACTGTTTAATTGTCTCTGGAGAATACAGCTTGGGAATCTCAAAATATGGATTCACAGCGATCAGGATGTTGGCAACAAATGTCTGCAACACAAAGTAACATGAGCAGACGGGAAAGCAACCAATGAATGCATTTTCATTCTATTTGACAGACAACCACTTTCAGACAATAAGAGTATTGAGGAATTGCGGCTTGTTATTTTTCAAAGAAATAATAAAAAATGGCAAGTACTTAAACGTTTTTATTTATTTTTTTAAATTTTTATTCCATTTATTTAATGAGGCTTTCGTCTTCATTCTTATATCAGGACTGTTGCATCATCTTAACTTTAAGATTTAAAAATAAAAATGTATTTTAATTTAGAAATTATCATTTCATCATAGAAGAGAAGGCCCTGAGTGCATGAATAGCAATTTTTAATGTGCACTATTGTTCAAATGTTTGAGGTCAGTTTATGTTTTTGAAAGAAATCTGCATTAATTTGATCAAAAATCTTTTAAAATTGCAATAACATTTCACAATATTACTATATTTACTGTTTTGTATTTGAATATATTTTATTGCGGTGATCAAAGCATCATTACTCCAGTCTTCAGTGTCACATGATCCTTCAGAAATCAGTCTAATATGCTGATTTGCTGCTCGAGAAACATTTCTGATTATTATTATCAATAAGCTGTGAAAACAGTTGTGCTGTTTTCACAAAAAAATATTTTTGGTGGAAATTTTTTTTTTTTCATGATTCTTTGATGCAAAGACAGTTCAAAAGAACATCATTTATTTTAAATAGATTTTGTAACAATGTAAAAATATTTGTGACTTTATCAATTTGATGCATCCCTTTATCAAATTGTTTTAAATAGAGATAATTTCCTTTTAAAAAAATGGTAACACTTTACAATAAGGTTGCATTTGTTAACATTAGTTAACCACATTAACAAACTAACAATAAAAAAATACTTCTAGCATTTATTAATCTTAGTTAATGCTGATTCCAACATTTACTAATACATTAATAAAATCAAAAGTTGCATCTATTAATGTTATTTAATAGACCTGAGCTAACATGGACGAGCAATGAACTGTTGCATTTTTATTAACTAACATTAACAGAGATTAATAAATAATGTAACAAACGCATTGCTCATTGTTAGTTAATGTTAGTTACTGTATTAAATATAGTTAACAAATGGAACCTTATTGTAAAGTGTTACCAAAACTCTTTTGAACAGTAGTGTACTTTTAAATAAACATAAATAAAAAACATAGCATACATTGGCCCATTTATGTAAATGTACCATTTTTTAATACAATTACTAAATTTACTATAACGCAAGGCTGAAGTGGTCTTCTGGTGACAATAAAGACCTGGGCATACTTGGGCCTGGGTTTTTAGTTTTCTGCATTCTGCTCCATATTACACATTTTCAAAGTATACTCTATTCACCACAAGTCTAGATGGAGTATGTGCACTACATAGTGAACTCTTCCATTTGAGTGATCAATCACTTGCACATGCACTGCTGTTTATGTACAAATCCATATAAACAGACAAATCAGGCAGCACACAGACATCAGCGGACTGGGCTGATTATGAAAACAAGCGAAATACTCTTTGTGTTTAAGACATGGGTTTGCCATGTAGCGTGCAGGGGACATACAGAATAGTGTCTCCATCACAACAGAGCAACAGAGAATATACTCACATAAATCTTATCTTTACTGTAGCGCACACGGACATTATTTAGTAGCGTGGCTTCATTCAAGTACATCAATGAGCCTGTAAGACACACACACACACACACACACACACACACACACACACACACACACACACACACACACACACACACACACAAACGAAATCATTAGTCAGTGCTGTCATTTCATTTTATCCAACATAACTGACATGAACATCTCAAACACAAGAACACTTACAGTTGTCCTCCACATGTTTGCTGACATCATCTTCAGCAGGGAAGACTTGATTGACAGAAGCTTGAAAGTTCTGAAACACAATGACTTTAATGTTAACCGCACATAGGCTAAAAGCATGACAGCTGGTGTTAGTTACGTGCTTAAGCTTGAAGGGAGACTTCACCCACAAATTCAAATTCTGTCATAATTTACTCATCCTCATATCTTTCCCAAAAAAATAAATAAAAATAAAAACTTGTTCATCTTCAAAACACAAATGAAGATATTTGTAATGAAATATGAGAGACTTGTCACTCCACTGAAAGTGCTCTGCTTCAGTTTTAACAGTGAAAGATGTAAGCAGCTAAGTGGTCATATTTGACAACTGTTTTATGACAGCAATGTTAAATGACACAAATAGCCAGTGCTCCAAACTACTCGATATTTTTTTGTAAAATTTCACCATTTTGAATTAAAGGTCCCATATTGTCAAAACTGAAATTTCCTGGCTTTTGTCATGGTTACTGAGGTTTAGGGGCTATTTAACTACCATATAAGTTTCAAAACAGTCAGTTCACAGTAAAATGCACACAGCCTGCATAAAGTAGCTGTGATTTTTCATGAACCGTTGTGACTTCCGTAAAAAGTTGATGTCAGAACTACACAGTCACCGCCTTCAGTCCGAGCACCGCCCACCGTCCCACTCTCCTTTAGCCAAACCCCCAGACAACATCACATCCATGCCATTGCTGAGCAACAACAACACGGAAACATGTCGAAAAGGTTAACTTTAACCACGAAACCAGATCGGTCAGCCTGTAACGTTACACTCTCACTCAAAGGATGGACGAAATGGTCAGTTTGTTGTTTTACACACATGCACACACATTATTTCATACACGACATAATCGTGAGATGAAAGAAACATAGACATATGGCAAGAAATCTGTAGACGTGCCCATAACAACAAAAGACAATACTTTATTGACCCTTTTCTGATAAGAAGTGTGCGCTTTTTTGACAATCGTTTCGGTCCAGTCCGCTCGTTTTATCACGTTTAACCACAGCTGTCGTCAGTTTTTTGTCTGGCAGTGGCAGCAGATACAGTATGTGATCAAATTTCTAATTTGAGGCTGTATTACGTCGATTCTGGCACCCAACATCACAACAAGATGATATTTTAAGCTCCTTATGTAGCCGAATATGCGCTGGTTTGAATGGGCCACCTCCAGTTTCCCCTTTGTTTTGCTGCCTCCAGCTAGCGCTGTGACGTCGCTGACCCTAGTTACCTGTGGTTGGCCTGGCCGTGCGTCACTCAGAAAACAACAGGCCAATCAGAAGAGAGGCTCATGAATATTAATTAGACAGGCCAAAATCGACCTGTTCTCAGCAGAGCTCCTGAGAGAGGAGCTGTAAAAATAGATTGAGATGGTTTTTGGTACTTTTACCGCAAATATATATTCTTAAGGACATAAAAACCTAAAATAAAACTCCAGAAAGGTGTAAAATATGTGACCTTTAAAGATATATGCTATCATCATTATAAGCCCCACAAAAAACAGGTCCCCCAATGTTAAAGACATAACGGCCTTGATTTCATGCCCTCTACGCATATGTGTTGAGCAATGTTTATATGTAAATAAATGCCTGAACTAAATCTGCTCATCATATAAAGCAAACGTGTCATTTAGTTAACGTTTATGTCCTCTTTATGCACTTTTTGATGAATCAAAGTTTTGGTTGCATGGTCTGTCAATAGAGGGACAGAAATCTCTCAGGTTTCATTAAAAATATCAAAAAAAGACTTACGGGTTTGGAACAAAATGAGGGTGAGTAACATTATTCTTTTTTTGGCGAACTGACCCCTTAATGTGTGGGATTAGAGATTGGATTGCTCAAAAGCAGTATAGATGCGTCCCATAACAAACACATCAAATGCAACAGTAAAGGCTGCCACTCTAGGTAATCCACTTCCATGCTTCTGTTCTAATATCAGACAGTAGTGTACTCCACACACACACACACACACACACACACACACACACGTAGCGTGTGAACAGACGGCCTATTGTGCTTTCACATCCCGGCGACATCACACTGCACACACATCACATGGGCTAGATGTAATGCTGCACACAACACTCTGTCTTGTAGTTGACACACACACACACACACACACACAGTTATCGCTACTGTAATCTTGGTCAAGCTCCAGAGAGGGCCAGACTCCATATGGGCAACAGGATGTGTTTGCAGTGGCTCTGAAAACAGAAGCATTCATCAGAAGAGTTTAAATCATTCTGCAAAGAATCTGTGAAGTGCAACAAATGTTTTTGACAGAAACAGAACAGGACATGAAATGTGAGTACTTTCATTATTAGATCATATTAGCAGTTTGTCTTTCGGTGTTTTCTGCAGAATTGTGGCTCCCGCTCACCCTTCCCCATTAATTTTTAATGATGACCATCTTGAAATTAAGTTTTGTGTACTTAAGGTTCATGAAACATAAATCAAACTAACTTTTAATCATTACTGACTGTTTGTTTGTTCAATTGTCCTCACAGACAACTTTTCACAACAATTAAAAAAATAAAAATATAAATCATAACTGAAAAAGGTGTAGGCCGAAGCCTTTGGTTATCATGCCTACCCTTTATACATATTTATCTAATAGGCATCACTTTTCCACTGATTACAAACATACATAATTACAAAAGTACGCATTTCAGATATTACAATAGTTTATATATTACATACACAAACTATTCCTATTGAGTTATAATATATATATATATATATATATATTAGGGCTGGACGATATGGCCAAAATATATATCACGATATATTTCTTAATTTCGGTCGATACGATATAATTCCGATATCGATATGAACACTATTTTAAAAAGCCTTGTAAAAACTGCCAAGAATGGCCACAACAGATGTCTGTGCATACAAACTTATGAAAAATGAATTTGCCAAGTCTATGACACCTCATATAAAACCATATAATACTTTAGA